TTAGCAAGAATTTCATTAAACATGGTATCACGTGTAGAAAGGTCGGAATTATGCTTGGCGTCGATGTCTTGCTTAGTGTACGTGAAAAATAAAACGTGGCACCGATGACCAAGTAAATAGAGAATTTCCCAACGAACATCAATAGACCGGCAAAATCCAAAAATGGAGCGATTCCCGAAACAGCAAGCGATGACATCTATAAGGGGAAATTGGTCTGTTAGCATATATACACGAGTGTGGGGAGGTGTCATAGCATATAAACAAATAAAAAACAAACCTTAATCGTTAGATATTAGATATTATTTTGAGTGTATGAATCTTTTTATTTATCGTGGATTATATTTATTATGATTTGTTAAATGTTTTATCCCCTTAATTCGTTAATTATTATCACGAAGAGGGTAAAGGACATCACAAATATTTTTTCTCCACCCTTTATATAAAAAATCACAGATCAGAATTTATTTATAGACTTAGACGGTAAAGGACCAGAACTTTTTTTGTGAATTTTAGGGTATACGCAAGATATATGCCCATGAAATTTTCAGCACCAAAAGTACTGGCTTACGCCAAAGGAATTCTGCGTAATAAAAATATACCTAACAATAGACGTGTAACGAAATATAACGTTAGTACTAATACCACCAACTCCGATAATAATTCCAAACGTGGATATTGATCTCTGTGAATAGTGGACCAATTCAAATGATCAATCGATCTTCCGACTAACCCAATTAATTTCATTTTGTAATAGCCCCACCTTCGATTCGTATTTTTAAATGAATGGAACTAACTTAGCTAAGTAATTTAATACCTCAAATCACTGGATATAGATTCGGGAACTAAATACCATTTCTTATATAACTAACCAATCGCAAAAATATACTATTGATCATGTGATCTCAAAAACCGTGAAGAATTCTTCACAATCAGAAAAGTCTCCATCAAATCATGTGATAATAGTTAACGTTAGCGAAATGTTTTTTATTGGCTGATGGTATAGTACGTATACATCTGATATAGGAAAACTATCTACCCATTATTTTGTAAATTTTTCGATCCTAGCTTTCTTACTGGCTGGGGAATTATCGACACTGATTCGGTCCTTTAATAACCCAACAATAACACCTAACACCCGTTTTACACCTTTTCTAATTGATTCAAGATCCTCTTCCAGAGCCATTTTAGAGAGATTTATTTGATATTCGCTTTTACTGGTAGAATAAATGCCATCAGTGGCAAAAACGATAAAGTGCCATTCCGTGGCTAGAGACAGAGTCACATTGTTTCACAATAAAATATTGAGTGATGATTAGTGGAAAATCAGAAATTTCAACCGGGCCCCAACCAAAAATTATTCCGAAAAATTCATTATACTTTTACCAAGAAAATTTACATGCCTGTGGATACGATCCCATATAGATAGTCGTAATCATCATCCTTGAAAGCTTCATCTGCGGTACGTTTCTTTTTATTTGTATGGTACGCGCTCTCAAGTTGCATGATATTCTGGAGGTAACCGATTTCGACATTACGGGGCTTGCCTTCAGCTATGCACATAAGATCTTCGTTTCCTTTGATGGCATAATCAACACGACCAGATGCCTCCTCACCAGAAACGCTTTTTTGGTATGATATATAGATTTCTTTCTCATTGGTAAGCTTCCGGACAATTGCCAGTGATGCGTTTAATATCGACGTAATAAATACACAGCGAGTAGCTTCGTTGGCGTTGGTCTGCATTGTTTCCAAATTCGAAAGTCTCAGTGTTATTTCATTCATACATTGATCGAGGGCTTTGTCGTTATCATCGATTTCCTCGAATACTATACAATAAAAAAACGTTAATATATAACCGAGGTTTGATCGTGAATTTTATTCACGGTTTTTGCCAAGAAATTTGCGAGACGGCCCGTCCCGGAAAAATACCAAGAAAAAATAAAGTATCACATACCCGGGTTGAATTGCTTGATGCTCGTTATATCCTCCCCATTGACTTTATATTTGCGGAGCACGTCTTTTAATTCTTCCAGCGTTTTGTACGACGAGAAACTTCGTAATTTTTGCCCTAGACTTTCGATAAATTTTGCAAGCGTTATGGATGGTCCTATCTCAAAACCACATTCACGGAAATCTTCCTTGGTCATCTCAAGAAACGAAAGTCCAACGATT